AGACGGAACAGCATTTCTAGACGGAAATTTCTGCTAGCGTTGCCTCAACCTAGACGTAATTTCCGTCTACGTTGCTATCAACCCTAGACGGGTAGTCCGTCAGGCTTGTATAGTCAACCGACGGAAATTCCGTCTTACGGTTGAGGAAACGTAGACGGAATTTTTCGGTTAGGTTTCTTTAGGGCAGCTTTTTAGCCGCCTACCAGCCGGCCACCCCCTCCCATTTCTCTCCAATCTCATCCACCGACCCCCCCCGCCCTTGTTCGTCTCCCCCGACTCCCCCCATCCTCCGGCCTCCCCCCGCTATCCCCCGCGCCAGCCCCCTCCCCTGCGCGCTGGCCCCCAAAGACCCGCAGGCACCCCCTCCCCGAGGGGCCCTTCCCCATCCCCTCCCCCTCATCGCCGACCCCCCCTCCCCGGCCTGCCCCCAGCACCCCCTCCCGGGGGGCCCCCCCTCCTCCGATCCCCCTTTCTCCCGAGGCACCCCATCCCGCACCCCGCTTTTTCCCGACCCCCCTCCAGCCTCCCCCTCAACCTCGGTCTGCCCCCCCTCCTCCCGATCCCCCCACCCTTCGGGCCGCCCTCCTCCACCCCCCTTCGCCTTCCCCGAGCCCCCCATCCCCCTCGAACCCCCTCCTTCGCCCCCCCCACCTCCCTCCCGACCCCCCCACCCCCCTTCCCGACCCCCCCTCCTTCAGCCCCTTCCCCCCTCCCGACCCCCCCTCCTTCGGCGGTGTCCGTATGCGGAAACAGTTTAAAATGTATGATTTTTCTACTGAGCTTAGAAATTTCAATTTTATTATTAATTATTGTTGAATTTGGTTAAAAACCCTAATTATGTTGAAAAATAAACGATGGTTCAATTCTGAAATCCATAACTTAATTAAATTACATGTTAATTCATTTGAAAACGACTATAGTTATCAATTATTGAGTTTTAAACACTTATAAACCCTACTCATTTAAGTTTCATTCTGCCTATAAGTATGTGTGATTATTTAAGTTTGTGATTGCTGAAAATATGTGAAATAATTTTCTTTAAAAAAATAGAGTGATATATAACCATGATAATTTTTATAATGTGTTATAATCCAATTTAGGTGAATTAAAAAATAACGATCTATCCCTAGACTCGTTCAATAATTACATCCAATTATTTGGACTTATAATATTGATTAGACTCAGATTTGGTAGGAGCGAAGTTTTCTTCCAAAAATGAGCGTTTATTTTTATATTATAGCGAATAAAAAAATTGGTACTGAAATTTCGCTAATTATTGAGATCTGTCCTCTCGGACGGGTGGAGGAATATAGTAGTGCATACATCCAAACTTGTTACTTGTATATTTTCATTTGGAAAGTTTTTTGAGCACGGTATTCGTTGTTCTCCGTGTACAATAGCGTATGTTGTTCTGCGTTTCGGGCTATTGCTGATACGCATAATAACATCGCACAGTG